ACTAAACTAAAATCCAAGTAGATTAAAGATCTAAATATTAAAAAAGAAAAACTGAACTTGCTGGAACATAAGTTAGGCAGAACTCTCTAAGACTTTGGCATAGGAAAAGACTTTATGAACAAATCTTCAGTAGCACCATAACCGCAAAAAGAATCTTTCCAAAAGAATTAAAAGAATCATAGCACAGTGATATATGTGCACCAATATTTATAGCAGCCCAGTTTATAATAGCTAAAACTTGTAAACAGCCCAATTGCCCATCAGTTGGAGAGTGGATAAAGATGTGGTTTTTCTGTAAAATGGAGTACTACTACTGAGCCATACAGAATAAGAAACTGGATCATTCATAGGAAAATGGATGCATATTGAGACCATACTCTTCAGTGAAATAAATAAGACATACATGTTCAAATTCTGAATCATTTCTCTGGTGTGAAAAAGTAAAAGTGTAAGTAAAATCCAAATTTTATAACTGACAGTGTGAAATAGGAAGAAAATGGCTAAAAGTATAGGGGAAGTGGAAAGTGTAGGGGAAAGGAAAGAAGGGAAAAGAAAAAATATGAGAAAAGGAAAAAATGGAAACAAAGTCTTTGTAAATATGCAAAAGGGAGAGGGTGAAGGGAGGTCAGGGATATGAGGAAAAATGAGAACCAAGGTCTGTCATGTAAAAGTACAGTGGTAAATGTAACTGTACTGTATACTTAAAAAGTACCAATAAACTCAATAAAAAAAGACAAAAAACCCCAAAACACTCTGTCTTCTTCAAAAGGAAGATTTTTAATATGTTTGAAAAGAAATAGAGTACCTTATAAATTAAGAAAATTAGGAAGAATTTTTTAAGGAATAAATGACAAAAACCAAAAAAATTACAATAAATTTATTATATCAAAATTTTGCTTTCTTTGTACCAAAAGCCATCGCATAAACAGAACTGAAACAATAAGAAACAAATTTACAAAGTGAAAACTTACAGAGGATCACAATTTAGAATTTATAAAAAGCTTTAAGTTATTCAGATTGATACAACCCCCAACACATATATGTAGGGCTGACATCAACAGACATAGGCAATAGGAAGAAGTGGAATTTCCAAACAGCCAAGTAACATAGGAAAATATCCACAATCTCATAAATAATTAAAATAATAAAAAACTATATCATAGTGGGGCAAATTTTAAAATGTAATAAAAGCAGGCCTTTCAAGGATATGGAATAACTGGAAATTGCCTTCCCCACTGTAGGAAGTAAACACTTATCCTGTTATTTTGGAGAATAATTAGGCAATTTCTAGTAAAGATGAAAATGCAAACTTTCTTTGGCCACATTATTTTAGTTTGAGAGAATACTGGTATATGTTTACAAGGACAGATTTAAAATGTTTATGATAGCATTACTTTTAATAGTGAAAAGTTGGTTGCCATCTTATGTCAAAAAACAGATGAATGAATATATAAAATGTGTTAGAGAGTATACTTCAATGGTTATATAAAAGAAAAGATGAATGCAAAGAGCCTGATGACCTTAGAATGACTAATTTTTAAAAATTAAATTAAAAGTGCAAGTTACAAGTGGTATGTATGGTATGCGAGCATTTACCTGAAGTATGACAAAGTAACAAATAATAGTGAATATGTGCAGGGACACAGATATTAGAAAAACTATATTAATTTTCATGGATATGATAAACAACAAATGAAAGATAAAGGCAAGAAGAAAAAGGAAGATTTATAGGGTGTTTCTATTTGGTTATGTTTTACTCTCAAGCTGGGAGGTGAATACATGAATGTTTATTATATTGATCTCTATACTGTCTACTGTGCACAAAATCTTATTCTTTTCATTATAGTTATAAGAAAAATATTGTGGCATACTATGTGACTATCATATTCTTTACAGTAAGAACAACATTATTAGGAACTTTACATAAGAACTACACTATTAAGACAATAATGTGATATTCTGTGTATATACATAGGGTATTATGAGAATCAACAAAAGAGGATTTTGGCAGAACTAGTGTGGGGAGAGTAGACTAGATATTAAGATACACTATTTCATTTGTTATATAAAGGAAAACTTTCTGAGTATTCTTGCTTGTTACATTAGAATAAACATTATAAAGCACTAGATACAACCCTGCTGCTATTGAATATATTGGTTTGCTGTAGCAATGATAATGTCTTCTTTTTTATAATATTGGAGGTGGAACCAGGGCCTTTCCACTAAACTAAATCCTTAGCCCTATTTATTGGAGAGAGGGTCTTAAGTTGCTCAATTGCCCACATTGAACTCCAACTTGAGATCTTCCTGCATCAGCCTGCCAGAGCACTGGGATTGCTGGTGTGTGCCACCATGCCTGGCTTGTAAATATAAATCTTAAATCACAGTTGTGAATGGTAATACCATGTTATAGAATTTGTGACAGTCTACAGCTTTTATCCATAACCCATCTTGCCCATTTATTAGCAAGTTTAATAGGGGCATATTTGTAATTACCACCCATGAAAGTGTTATGTCTTATTTATAATAACAATCCCTGTAACACCCAAGGCGTGAGAATTTATTTTGACTTGATTCTTTGTAGTGGGGAGGGGTTAGTTCCAGTGGGTTTCATTTAGCGCTTTTTAACACGAAACTTTTAATCTTCAGGTCAGGGAACCCATGTGTGGGAATCCAAGAATTTTAAAGTACATTTATTTCTACTTTACTGCTTGAGACTGCAGAAGAAACCAAAGAATCAGCCTACAGTTCTTCTGGAGTGAATTTGAGATGTGTTACTCTATTGTCGTTTGTAGTAAGTTCTACTCCAATCTCTGCACTGTGGTAGTAGTTCAGTTCTTCCGACATACACTGTCAATATTTAATGAGCTACAAAAATGCTTTTCCCACTTTCCAGGGTCTGTCATATTTGTAACTGGCCCAGTGTCATTGAGGTACAATGTTGGGACTGATCTTTAGGGACATAGCCCTCCCATCCATTGAGGGGCTCAGAACTGTGCAGTGATTTAGGAACAACAGAGGTAAATGTTTGTGATTGCTTATAGGCATGGAAACTTCTTTCACATTTTGGCCCCCGAGTTAGGTAGATATCTATGTTTAATCACTACTAAGATCAAGAAACCCAACTTCATCTTTGGATTGTACACTTTGGCCAGGACAGGGCTGCTGAGGAGCATGAGGTAACCAGTGCACATTTTAATGACATAAGAAAGGAAAGGATTTCAGAGTCCACTGTCTTGAAAGTTTTGAAAGCTTTATTCATGCATACACAAAGTTTTAAATGCATGTAAATGCACTCTACCAATTATGATTCAGCATTACATTTTTATCTGTTACTCACAGGGATTGAATTTACTGTGTTTGGTACCTATTTTTCTTTTACTGAGATATTATCAAATTTAATTGATGAAGGTATTAGGATATAGTGAATAAAGGATAACTTCAGTCTGTGTGCTTGTTTAAAAGAAGACAATGAAATTTTCAGTGATTTAAGACCTGTAAATTTTACTCTTGACACTAAACATCACCTTTAAGGAATGCATTATTTTATTTCTGAAGGGCATTTGCAGGTAGCCTTGCAGCTTTCTTTCGTGATTTTTATACCACACCCGTGTTGCTTGACCAGAGCAGCACAGTTTGTGATAGTATCCGTGTGCATGCATGGATTGGCTAAAATGAAACAAAAAAACAAATGAAATGTTGATTCTTTGTTACACTTCTAGTTATCTCAAATTGTATTTTCTTAAGGAAACCCCATTTATTGTTTATATTAGTTTATTTAAGACTCCTTTTTAAAATAAGTGGATCTAGGCTTGGATTGTTATTAAACAGTTGATGTAAACAGAAGAACCTTATATTAGTGATGGCAAACCTTTTAGAGGCCAAATTACAAACCCAAAACTCTTTTATCGCAAAGTGCCAACATTTCAATTAAACCTGAATACTGAGATTTTAGTTTAGAAAAATCAACTCATATGTTAAAATCTTTTGTCTTAAAAGAAAAAAGCACAATAACATGGATGTCATAGGTTCACCACCACTGCCTTATATAAGCAGACACACTGATGTAGAAGATATGGAGTTCTCATCACACAGAACTCTAAGGAATCAAGTAAATCTCCCTGCTCTGTCACAACAAGGTGTACAGTGACTGAAATAAATCCAGTTCTGAATGTATTAGTCTGGTGTGTGTATATGCACAATCATGTATGATCATACAAAGGGGCCAGGGTCACAAGTAGATAGAATAAATCTAGTAGTTTTCAACAAACTCTTTCACCCAGCTGCACAGCTGCAATCATACCAAAGAAAAGCACCTCAGACAAGCAGTGGTTCTGTTGTGTATATGTGTATATGTGTGTGTGTATTTCTGAGGACTCATAGAAGACTGGCTGAAACTTCAGTATATATGCTTAAATAGCCCACCTTTGTAAGTGCCTACTTCTTAAACATAATGTGCAGTTGCTAAAGAGAAATCAAATGACATATTTTGATAGAGTGTATGTATGTGTGTGCATTATATGTTTCGGGGGGGATGAAGAAAAGAGTAGGTACACCAGAAAAAAGAGTAAGAATCTTCTTTTTATATATACCCTGCTTTTTATTTAGGGTCAGGAGCAAATAAAATCTGACTCCATTCAAGAGTGTGTAATTGGTTAGTTTCTCTACATCTACCTTTCTGTTCCCTAACTGATGGAAAACAATCAACTGAAGAGACTAAAAGATGCTAAAGGGAAACTTCATCCTCAGTTGGACTTTGTTTAAATTTGCTTTACTGTTACATCCTTCTTGTTTTAGTCCTTGTCATCTTCAAATGGTAGCTGCACTTGCCATTGCATTATTTTTATGTTTTTGTTGTTAAGAGTAGGACTGAAGTAGGAAAATGAGGGCCCTGAAAAAGATGACCTATGTACCCCAAAGCAGAGACTGAGCTGTCTTCTACTTAAGGTCAGAATCCATGGAGATAACACCACAGAAAGATACAAGTAGATATTACTTACTGCAAAGTCCATTGTCGCAATGACCAGGGCAGTCACCACATGGCTTTCCTGTTTTATATGGTGTCTTCATTTTTCTCACATCGTTTCCCCTGTCAATGGAACATATGAAGAGTTAAGTATAACTTTATGAGATTGTGCCATGTGTATAGGATATAAAAGAGTTCCATGATTTAGCTCAGTGGTTCTGACGCCTTGCAAGTGCAAAGACCTGAGTTTGATCCCTGGTACCAAAAAGAAAAGAAAAGAAAAAAAAAAAGGATGCCTATAGGTTAGAGCCACCCAAGTTTCAAGGTAAATTGTGCAGCATTTAAATACACACAGAAGATAGGAGTTGATGCTGCAATATTTCTTATGTTCCCTTTTTCTTTTTGAGACAAGATTTTGTTACATAGTCCAGGCTTGCCTCAACTTCAGAATCTTCCTGTGTCACTCTTCTGAGAGTTTGAATTACAGGACCATCATGCCTGGCAACACAGCAAAGGACATGGAACCAGAGTACAAGATTGTGGTAGGGTTCTGATATTCTCTGACTTCTCTGTTAGAATTTTCTTCTATTAAGAATCGATTAATGCACCATGAAATGTTCTAGACATACAATATAGCTTATTATGTTTAACCTCACAAAAACCCCTGAAAGAAATTCAATGCCTTTGCTACTTTATAGATGAGCAAGAAGGATATCTGAGTGATTTATTGGTGAACTGAATTCCATACAGCTGATAAATAACTAAGGTAACGCTCTTCTTGAATCACCCTTAGAACACACTGTGCATCCTTTCCTGTCTTTTCCAATGCTCCTTATTCCTTCTAAAGCCTGTGTGAAGGACCCTGTAACTCCAGATGGACTAAAGAGGTTGGATTCTAGCCCAGGTTACTTGGCCACCATGGCCAAAAGCAATCCCCATGTTATACTTACGCGGGGCAATACTGGCAAACATAGAAATATTTGTACTTCTTGTGAGGACAGTGAGCTAATGCACAACCAAGCTGATGGGAAGTGGCCCAAACAAGCTGCAAGGAGAAAATTTAAAATAAATCATTTAAATTAAATACATAGTTTTTGCACTGTGGCTTTTTTTCAGTAATGGCAATTTAAAAAGCTAAAAAATATTGTGGTTGTTAATGTTTCTATTTGATGAAAATTCCTTTAAAAATTATTTCCAGTTATAGGGTTTCATTGAAAGTTAAAGGACACTTTACACACTTATGCTCATTAAAATAGTTAGCCATAGCTAAAATTCATAAAAATGTCAGAAAAGGAGTACTAGACAAAAAGGAAAGGCACCTAAGGGCAATTCCAGTTTTTGAAGGGAAAAATAAGAACAAATTCTGTTGACCTTGTGTTTTTGTGCATAATCTCAGTTTTCCCAATATAACTTTTAATTTTAGATAAAAATGTAAAATTTTATTCAATAATATAAAGTAACTTGCATGTATAAAATCAAACTATTTCTGATTGTGTGTTTTACAAAGCATTTCATCCCAGAGAAAGCATCTCTAGACTTTCTTTTGTTTAAAGATGATTTAGTGTTGGTAATATATAATTAATCTATCACTTTATTCCCACTGTTCCCATTATTAAAAAAACATTATTTAAAGAATACATTGTAGTGAATCCAGAGTCACAATGACCAGGTGGGTGCATGTGAATATACAAGAAATAGTGAAATATACTTATATCTGTGAATGGGTAAAATATGCTTCATAATGCAGGAGAGCTTTTCCATACACAACTCAGAGTTCATACCTCAGATATTTGGCATCTCCAGGAAAAACTGAGGAGAAAAGGTAAGTCTGGGATGATGGAAGATGAAAAAATTAAGCATCTGTCATTTTATTTTTACCTGAGTATAGTGGCCAGTTTTAGCATTTGCTCGAATATTTCCTAATCCATATTTAAAATCTTTAACTTCATCATACAAAGATTGGATTACATTTGACCATGTTCTGGGATCACTGGACAAGAAGTAATTCTCCCCACAACCAGCAACTGAAAATTAGGAAAGGCAATGCAAAAATAGTTAAACAAGTACTTGCAAAGAACCTTTATTGAAAACTACCAAAATATTTTATTTTTTGTGAGCAATACTACTTTCCAAAGATATACAGTCATCTTAAACTGACAGATTTAGAGGAGAATCAACTTCAGTTTGCTGAGTTAACTTGCTTCCCACCTCAGCTTATGAACAACTTGTTCAAACTGTAATGAATGATGCATTTGCAAACTGATTGTGTGTCATAATACAGTCACAATCATCATTTGAGTAATACTGATTAATATCAATATTCAGTGAATTAAACTTTAATATTTTTATACCTTCGCAGTGTAAAATAGATGTGATAGTTAAAATGTTATGTATAAATGTGACCTTTGAATTTTGACTCTTAAGCAGTGGAAATAAGAGGCACATGTGTAATAGACAACAACAGATCAGATGGAAGATGACACATCTATATGCGAATATCTAGCAGGAAAATAACAATGTCCAAGTCATGGATGTAAAAATGATAATGGCTTGTCTCTGGGAGTGAGCAAACTAACCAGATCTTAATAAAAATGGTAAGGCAGGTTGGAATAGAGTGAACAGGCAAAAATGGAACATACTGAGTACCTTGGAAAGTAGGTGGTAATTAATTTACAATCATCCGATTTAATATTTATGTCTTATGCTATGGAAAATTATTCTAAGAGATATACAATAATTATTTTTCACCAGGAGCTCAAGATCTGGTGGTTTGGCTACAATATATCAAACAGGAGCTTTTTCAGATTTTGAAGACTAAATCTTGGTACAAGTCTATTACAGATGATCAGTATCTGAAAGACTGTAAGTTCAAAAAAATATTTAAATTATTCATACTCAGTCTGAAGTTTTGGCTTGGAGTAGCAGGAGTAATGAGCTTTTGGGACAAGGGTTTTAAAAGAGAAAATACAGGGATGGAAGCAAAATATATGAGTGTAATTAGAAGTGGTAAAGTAAAACCAATGAGCAAAAACAAGATTATCACTTTCAAATTTACTATTTCAATGATTTTTAGTTCATTTAGCACTTAGAACATTATTCACTGGATAATAAGAACTTACAGTTAATTTTTCGTTGATCGTTAGGACTGTGAGAGAAGATGCACTTCTTTGCCCAAGTTTCAGCATTCTTTGCAACTTCTGCATTCCATGTCTTGGAATATATGACAAAAACATGGAAATTAAAATGTGAAGCTTTCACAAGATAACAGGGAACTACATGAATATATTTAAATATATGCCTACTTGAAGAATCGTTTTTCTAACATTTTTTCATTTCCCTATTATTCTATAAAAATCACATTTTCTTGCTTTCCTCAATGATTTAGCTGCCACAAAGATCTTTGTTGGGATATGGCATTGTAAGAGTACAATATTTTTGGAAAAAGTAGTCATCCAGCTCCCCAACAGCAAAATAAATATTTTAAAAGTGTAGACATATTCTATAGTTTTTTTGACTGGATACTCACAGGCTATACAAACTTTTTTCCAGGACCAGGAATTGAACCCAAAGCTGTCACAGTGAGCAACATCCCTATCTGTCTTATTTTTTACTGTGATATAGAGTCTCACTAAATCACTAACTTCCACAGGCTGGGCTTAAACTTATGATCTTCACACCTCAGCCTCCTAGATACAAACACAGTTAGAGCTTAGATCTAATTAAGTGTTTGTTTGCCCAATAGTTCCTACTGCATTTTTAACAGGCCTTATAGATTAATGTACTGTAGAGTCTCAGCATTGGAAAGAATAGGTTTTATCTCTCATTGTTATAGAAAACCCTACTAAAAGACATTTAGCCTGTAATTGAAGTATATGATTATTATGTTCTAAATATCTTTGATTTTCATTCTTCCTACTAAAAACATGAATGGTTTTCACATTATAGTTACAAAATTAGAGCATTCTGAGTTTTCATAGTTGACTTTTTCCTGGTGAGTCTCATGTCTTCTGATGCTTTCTTATCTATAAATATCTTTTCTTATTTAATTTGAAGTGCCTTTAGCATTTCTTGGAGAACATGTCTGGTTTAAGTATATTCGCTGATTTTCTTGTTTTTTGGGGGGGCAATTAATAATATCTTTAACTCTCCCTCATTCTTTTTATATAATTGCTACTAGTTTAATTATTATGTATTAATAATAACAAGACAATATAAAAAGTTGGCAATGTAGATTTTAAAGAATATGGATTTATTTTCTTTTCATTCATAAATTTTATTGCTACATTCCAGTCATATGGACTACTACTACAATGTTTTTAACATTGACAGCTCCCATTATTTCCAATTTTCTACATAATTTATATCACAAATGTGCTAAGAAAGAAATTTTTCAAAAACAAGTCCACGTACATATATGGACAAAATAAGCTTCCAAAGGAATAGTATTTTATGCAACATAGCTAGAACATTATTTGAGTTTATTAAAGACAAAATTATTTATTCTGAGGATTTTCTGTATATATTTTTTGGAGATCTATAAATAAAAATCAAATTTTCCTATAATAACACTAAACATTTGAGTTGGAAGAGAAAGAGGAGCTCACTTTTACTAGGTATACCATCTGTTCCAGGAATATTCTTTATTTAATATTGTATCCATTAATTTTCACAAGGATAAAATTTGAATTATTTCCACTGATCAAAAGAAAGTTGTTTTTCCAGATTAAGTAGCTATTCCAGAATCACCCATCAGATTCTGTTAGTGCATTCTTTATTTAGTCCGAACATCTACACTGTTGTATTTGATTTACAGGCCCCAATCATAATAATCCTTTTATTGCTCCAATATGTCCAAATAAGTACATATTCTATAACCTATGAGCTGACTATAGCAAAAAAAGAGTAGGTTTTTTCATTTTACAGACTTTACATTGTATTTAAAGTTTATGATTTTTTTCAAATTGGGGGTCTAATTATTCAATTATGCAATCTGCAGTGTTACTTACATATCACCTGTTCACCATGTCCATCCTATACTGATAAGAGTATATAGTATATAATTCAAATATATATCGATCTAGAGATTTATAGAACTCTCTCACTCTCTCTCTACTATAATATAATATAA